AATTCTAGAAACGTTGCGTCACTGTAGTCATGTGACTGCTGACGCAACAGTATTAATAATGTTACGTATCAGCTTGTGTGTTAATTTCCGGTAGAAATTGTTTTTGAGGAACTTCAGCAATACAAGTCCTTTCTTGATTAAACCTGTTTATTCTTTCTGGATATAACTTTTATTACACAGTAATTCCACAGTCAGTACATTTTTCATCACTTTAAATCTAACAATTTTTATAATACACGCTATAAATCACATTAATTCACAACCTTGATATCTTTGCTCTCTGGAGTGCAAAACACACTCTAGCTCGAAACAGAATCGTTAATTACCCGAACCTCACCATGACTACTGTTCGCTTCTCCACACATTCAATCCTGCTGACGAGAAGCCAGGCTTATGTACTAACAAAGAGGGTCTCGATCACACTCGAGCTTCCCCGATAATTCGAGAAACTCAGTCACGCACGCGCTAGCATCATCACGTGACTTCCGCTGTCGTAACAATAAGTATACAAGTACTGACGTTAAAACGTTATTTGCGGCCATTTTGAATACTTTTCTCATTGATTATAACAAACGAGTAGTTAAGGTAGCGCTATCTTTTAGCGGTAAAAATCATCACAGCGAGCTGATCAGTAACTTTACGCGCTATATACTATATATAGATCAGCGAAACGTTGAGTTTGGAGAATATCGTTAGGCTTCGACTTGGTTTTAATGTTGGATTACCGATTTATTTAGTAGTTTTTCTGTAATTAAATAGTAAGGAATCTTCTACTACAAGGTACAACTTACAAGTAAGTGAGGTGTTTATGATTTTTTTAATGTTTTTAGCATACTCTTACTGTTAGTATCACTATTATAATGTAAAACATCATTCTGATACTTTTGAAACTTCAGTTCAAGTTGAACTTGAAGTTTCAAACTGAGAGAAGTCGAAGTGCTCGTACTGTGTCATACTGGTAGTCATACTCAAAGTGTTATTAAGGTGTATTATTTCAATTCGTTTGACATTTCCTTAAGGCACATTTAACTTAAGATTATTTCACCTTTATGTAATTGAAATAATATTCTGTGACAATAAATGAACTTCATGAACAGAGGATATATGATGATATATCAGTTAAATCATCGGTGTTACTATTAGGCTTACGTATACTAGTATAGCCGAGCTCTTCAAATCACAACCGTTAATTTAGTGTTCAGTTAGGCGTAATTTTAAGCCTCGTGGTCATTGTCTTAAAGGTGCTGTGAAAACACAAGTACAAGTAATTTAATTGGTAACGACATTATGATTGCACCCAAGTCAAAAGAATAGTGTTGAAACCACTGCGGTAATTTAGAACTAGTAATACTATTGTTGTAGCGTTGTTTGTTTTTTTTTTCGTTGGCGAGTTCTTATGAAATGATTCAATCAATGTTCAACCCACGTAAAATGTAAAAAAATACTGAATTTCATTTTCTTTTAGTTTTAGACCATATTTACAAATGACTAACTGAAATACACTTTAAAGTAGGCTTAGTTGTAGAACTACAAAGTAACTTGGTTAATACGCATATTAGCTCCATACTTCATACCCTGGCTAATTTATGTTATAGGGTGGAAACAACTCAACAATCTTCACAACTGTCTTGTATCTATAATCAGCCTTTGAATGTATTTGGAAAAATTTGATGTAAAATCTTTTAGGAAGTTCTTGATGTTCTTGGCTTATCTTAACATCATACGCCCTTTTGCTAACAAACAAATAACATTAATAATATAGCTTACAACACTACCCCATCTCAGGATTATAAAACATTGATACCCATGTGGCCATTCTCTTACCAATATACTTCCAGTAGCCATCATGATGGATGACATTTGGCTTGGATTGCCTGTCCTTCTGGTTTCTCTATAGCACACCATTAATTATTTTCAGTAAAGCATATGGCTAATTCAAACACCTGCTTACAGGCCCGCCGACAGGGCGGGCAAAGGGGGCAACTGCCCAGGGTCCCGGGCGATTGAAACCTGGTTATGCCGTAAAGCCCGCAAAGCATCTTTAGGCTATATCTTCATTTAATGATAAAAACCATAGTTTTTGGCTTTTCTTTGCATATAGACGCTTGATATATTAAGAATGACTGAAATAATAATTTGAGTAATAATTAATATGCATATGTTACTTTATAGATTTAATAGATATTTGTTGTTACTTTATTAACGTTCTTATGCTTATACTGTGAGGTAAAAATGGCTGCTGATATGATTTTGTCTGGTTTATGAGCTCGTTGCTGTCCTAATTTAGGATCTTCTTTTTAATAAATTCTTGAAAATGTTAAAAAAGAGAGAGAGAGAGAAAGGGGGCCTGGCGAGGATGTTTGCCCCGGGGCCCGTGCTGACTATCGACATTCTTGTCTGCCTAACTTTAGAATTTGTCCTTTCTTGTGGTGGGAATTGTACAGCCATACCATGTCATCTTTGTGGAATCAACTCTTAACAGCATTGTGACTTTTCATTTTATCTCTAGCAGATTTAGGTGTTTCTTGGGTAAAGTTATACATTATCACTGGTGTTCCTTCATCTCTTTATTATATGTAAAACTTTTCTTAGTGACTGTTCTATGCATTTTCAGTTCTCTCATCAGTGGTGATGGTGTGTCGACATTGGCATCATGTACTGCTGTTTGAAAACTTGTCAGTAATATTTGATTGTTGTGAACCCACATTTTCTGATATTAATCCACATACAAGGCTACTTGATTTAACAATGTGCAGTTGTATTTCTCCACCATGCTATCAGAAGCTAAATGATAAGCTGTTCTCTTGATTTTTTAATTCAAAGGATTTGTTTATTACATTTCTACAAACAATCCTGATTCAAATTTCTGTCCGTGATCTGTGTGAAGTTCCATGGGCATGCCAAGTCTTGTGACAGATTTATTGATGAGTTTCAATACAAGAGTTTTTCTTCCTGATTTTAGGAACAGCATATGTTTTTAACCATTGGGTAAAATATTCCATCACAACCCTGATGTATCCATTCTCATTGTTACTCTGTGACAGAGGATCAAGCACATCAACAACAACAATGCTCTCCATTGATGAACAAACATAGTACTGCTGTAACTGCCCATGCTGTTTCATTCATGGACTTTTCTACACGTTTTACATCAATTCTCCACAAACCCCTGGCACCCAACCCCCAATGAATTCCACATTTCATAAGGAGTAGCTGGGTAAGATAATTGGGCAAGCCTTTCCAAATCATATGCAAGTTCAGCTAAGGTCTCTTCCTCTGTATGCTGTTCTGGAAATTTGCTTTGGATCTTTCTGGTGTGACATTCTGATGCGTGTTACGGTTCATAGCTCGAAGGTTACTTAATGCTGTCATACTTTTAGATGAGCAGTAAGATGGGTGTTTTGTTTACTGTTCCACCTTTTCATTCTGAAAGTGATTTCAAACTGAGTCTAGTATAACTCCCATGGTACCTTCCCACCATAATCCATTGGTTTTTCTTTTAGCCAATGTTGAACAGACCAGCCAGGTAAATTCTAGAACTGGATTTTGTAGTGTCATGGCTGGAGTAGTCAAGAAAGGTCCTTCAGTAACTGGTGGAACAGTAATAGTGATGATAGGTTTATATCCTGTATAAGTTTTCTTATTTTGTAGCAGATGGTGTACCAGGCTAGAACTCCTGAGCTGATGTAGAAAGAAGTGTGGCGAGTTAATCTTTGCATTTAATAATTCATTTTCCAAATGTTTTATTCTTTCACTGGTATTCTTTTCTACTTTAGTGATGCTCTTGTGTACCTCATTGATGTCTTTCTTTACTTTATTGATGTCTTTTTATACTTCAATTTTGTAATTACAACTTTTCCCATACTTTTCCATCTTATTATTGTAATCTCTCTGTACATCTCCACTATTTTCAGTCAAATTTATTTTTGATTTTAATTCTTTCTTAAATATTGTACCTTTTTTTTTAAATTCTCTCTTAAATTCCAGTCTGTTACTTCTGATATTCTTTTATCTTTGTCTCCTTTTTTCTCTTAGACCTCTTTTAATTTTCTGTAAATTTTGTAGTTTTTCTCTTATTTTTTTATGTCAACCCTCTTGGCCTTTTAATTTTCTATCTCTTCTTCTTGACCTTCTTTAAATATTCTTTCTTGTTAATTCTGGTTTTCTTTTATTTTTATATTTCTTTCTCCTCAGTTCTTTTTTACTTTTCAGTAGATTTCTTCCTGATCTTGTTTTAATAATTTCACCATCACAAAACTTCACCCTTTGACCTCATGGTTGTCATCATCAGCAGATCATGTTTATTGAAAGTTATATTTTGTTTTTATCATAATAATATCCCACTCCTGACACTAGTGTTATAATGTTGTTTTTTCATTGGTGGGTTCTTTTAAATCATTTGGTGAAAATAATCCAATGTTCAGTCCAGGAAAACTACAGCAAATTAGTTTATTTCTTCCTTAACTTTTCTACATGCTTGAACTCTATGGTAACTTTTAGGCCATGTTTACAAATGACTCTAACTACACTACACTAACATAAAAATATACTTACTTGTACAAAGTAACTCAGTAATTACAATAGCTAACACAGATCTGAATACTTCACATCCTGACTAATGTACTCTACTGGTTAGAAACAAATACAATTTTCACAACTATATTGTATTTATAATCTGCCTTCAAATGCACTAAATAAAAATATTTGGCATCAAATTTTTAGTTTTCTAGGTGTTCTAGGCCTATCTTAACATCATATATAAAACTTACAACATTATTTAATAGAAGTTAAGAAATATGATGAATTCGATATTAAGCTGGGGTGATAAGACTTGTTGATAATAAGAGTTCAACTGATAGGCTTAATATATCAAATTACAAAGATGTAAATGCTCTTGTAGAAAGAAAGGTTGTTGGAACTATGGAGAGCAAGGACATATGAAGAGCCAGTGTAAGAAGAATACTACAAATAAGTCAGCTT